ACATCGTAACAGCAATGCATTTTATCGTATCGCGGTAATGGCAGAATTGGTAAACTTGTAAATTGACGGTGATTAATGGAAAACAAGTGCATGTGAGAGAGACTGTACTATGTCTATGGCAGAGCGGCAACGGCGCTACTAGCAAGTCCATATTACCGGCTCTAGTTTCAAGAATACAGCAAACGACTGTTTACCAAACTAGTAGTAAATTGCGTGTTTCGGTGAATACGAAGGTTCTAAGACATTTTATTGTTACTCTAGACAATTGCTGTTACTCAAGCAATAACGGTAGGTGTCATGAAAGTGGTGAAAATGCTGGAAAACTCTCGTAACAATTACTTTAAGGTTAGCATGTAAACTTGCAGAAAGTTGGGATGATAGGAAAGTTGGGGGAGGGGGTAGTTGGCAGCGTGCCAATCTCAATATCTATCAGTTAGCAGTACAAGGTCGTCTGCCAAGAACAATGAAGGGGTTTCCTAACAACGTTACTTTCTACCGGGTTTATATAACAATTATATAACATACTCATTGATATACTACATCCATCTTCCTGCTATATCAATATTTACACACCTCCACTATCTCTACATAACGTTATCTATATATGACAAAGTATTTCACGATGGAATTTGGTCTATCGGAGATGTTATCTTCGATCTCATGACCGCATTCCAGCAGATTCGAATGCAATGCAATCCAAACACTCGTTAACCGACCGACAAATTACATCGTAATTTGACCACAAACTTGTACTCTGACATTTGGTGACGTGTGGAGAGTACAGGTAAACAAACGTGCACCGAGATTTTTGGGATCATGCTACCATTTAAATATATGTGTGAGAGGATCGAGTGACATGGGGGGATCGTTCCACGCCACGAGCGGTGACAGTTGCAATTTTCGAGACAAATTACAGGTTAGGCAGGTAGAAGTGGCGAAACAAGCGCGATTTTGGCACTCGTTGCCCGAGCGTGGCGTACGCTGCGTGTGAGTACGACAAGAAAAACATACAATGGCGACTTGCCCAGCCACGTAGCTGGCGCCACCGTACAACAGGAAAAGCGTGTTAAAGGAAAACTGCAAAATCAAAGGTAATGTGTCTTGAAAAATTTGCGCATGTTGGGACAAGCGCTCTGGGTGAGTGGGTGAGTGAAACGTAAAGACTAAAGGAGGATATATGCATAACGTTTGGTTTTGTATGTAAAAATAACATTATGTATTATTGTGGTATTGGCATTACTAGTACTACTACTACTAGTACTACCATTACTAGTTCAACAACAAGATTAAGAACAAGT